TGGCTGAATAGGCAACTGAATGGCTACTGTACAAAACCTGGAACCTAATGCAATTTCTGACATTTTGAATTGAAAAAGCTTCCTGGATGGGAAGCGAAACGTCTTCAAAACTTGGAAACAGTCCAGTGGATTGTTTTTTTTGGAATGACTACGACCTGGATGACATAAAATCTTCACCAGCAAGTTAATCTGTTGATTATCTTTTCGATAAATGGATTAATCAGATAGCAAAAGGTTAATTAAAGAAGAATTTTTCATGAAACTAAATTGTTTCCACTTGAGGAGTTCTGGATGGATAATATTGACAGATGAACTAAACTAAACTAAATTAGTTGATGATTATTTCAATAATCGATTAATACCCATTGATGCTCAAAAATTTGAATGTAGTATACTAGTTTTTTACATTTTTTTTATGACAGGTGTTTCTTACATCTTTCCAGGATGGAAATGATGGAGGATCGCACAGAACGCCAGGCCGTTCCTCCAGGAAGTGCTGAAGTTGGTGATCTTCACTCCCTTGTGACCCTGAGTCACGTCCTTACACCATTCCAGGAGAGACTGACTGGAGGTGACCAGGGAGGGGCTGGACGCAGCGTTCTAAGACATAGAAAATGCAACCTAGATTCAGGAACAGCATGGCACAGAGCTCAAATGGTCAAGAGTAAAAAAAAAAAAAAAGATGTCTATTCTTGGAACAATACAAAAAAACAGAAAAACAGCAAAGAACAGATTTAGGATCAGAAAGATGTCATCTAAGTAGGTTAGGTCTGTTCACTAACCTACAGCCTACGGCCTGAGACTGAGCTGAGGGACTGACAGAGGGAAGTGACTGTTTGGTGTTGAGGCAAAAAAAAGCAGGACTCAGGGTGACTGTGTGAGTAAAGTGGTAAAGAATGTTAGGATTATTCTTACTGATGATGTGTGAGTCTGTTAAACCCTAATAATACCTGCCTGCTATGTGTCAGAACTAATGTTTTCCCAGGTAGTTTATCTAAGTAGGACTCTGTCAGGATAAAAAGTCATCTTCATTCTGCATGTGGCAAAGATTTGGGAATGGAATGAGAGCAGAGTCCTTGGTTTAAGAACACAGTGTAATATTTTGATAAGGCTGGAGCCAAACATGGAAGGGAACTGCGACACACATGCAGACGACCGGGTTTCTGAGCATAAATCAACCTTAACGCTGTCCAATCTTTAATTATCACTGATCTCATCCACCTCCTCATTCTGCTTTATATGCTGCTCAGCCCAGCTATCGGGGCCAGATGATTGTTGGTTAGTTTTAGTGTCAGGGATTCCTACGCTCAGGTTACCATCCCTGGAGGCCAGTGGGTTGAGAGGGTTTTGGTGTTTGTCTTTTCTCCTGATTTGTCCTGGCTCCTAGGTGGAGACCAGTTTAAAGTTTCATCCTGGTACCATGTCTTGTCTCTGTCCCTCAAACACTGAGCCTGCTGGTTTGCATCCATGTGTTTCTGTCTGAGCTTTCTGTTGGACTCATTGGAACTCTGAACCTGCCTTCACGCTCTTTGGATTCCTGGAACCCTGGATCTGTCTGTTCCTGTTTGGGTCGGAACCCCTGACTGGGCTGCGGACTCCTGGATTCCAGAACAGTTTCTGTCTGATCTCTATCCCTGACCTGGACCGGATTACTGCCTGCTCACTGAAGTTGCTGCGTCAGGGAACCGCTAGGCGGCTCTGCACCGCTGCTCGTTTTGAACTTTCCCACTGTCTGTCTAACCTTGAATACTGGATCCATCCGTCCCGTTCTTGACACCTCCAGGAACATAAACTCTTTACCAGCTGCAGATGCACATACCCTCCCCACATTTTATGTCCAAATATGCCTTATAAAGTACAGTATTATACAACATTCATGTGGACATTAGCAAGGGATACTTCGAATATGGAGTGAATCTCGGTGCAATATTTTTTTAAGCAAAGAGCAAATGGATTCCAGGAATTAACCTTTGAAAAACATCTTTATCAAAAAGGTTTGGAGTGGTGTCAGTGTGGCCGGTTCTGGTAGGGGGGTCAAAAACTCATTGCATTTTCTACATTAGAGCTGCGATCCCTGATTCTGTTCCACAGGAATTTGTTTGGAACCAAGAAGGGTACTAAATTTGTTACCCATCCCTTGAAGTGGAAATGATGTAGCCAAGAAATGGACAGCACCCATACGGAGTGAAGCGGAGTAGCAGTAAAGGCAGGGGTTTTGCTTCTGGCAAGAAAAGAGCTATTTCATAACAAAGAAATTCTCTGTGGCGCCAAAGGAAAAATTCAGCATCCATTGTTGACTTGTGGAGGCTTACAACAGCAGGATGTCGAAACTTTAAAGCCTATGAACAACTCCAGAGGAACACCTCAGCACACCGACCTTGATTCAACTCAGATTGAACTTACCTCCACAGAAGGAGCCTCATCTGCATGTTTCTTCTGAGGCGTCCAAGGCTCGAAGGCTTGTCGGAGGGCACCAGCTTCTGACTCTGTGCCGTTCAGGGAAGAACCACTCAAACGCTTCTTTCCACGAGGCAAAGCTACAGGCTGCCCTGCTGACCTAACAGAAACACAACGGTAGCTACATAAATGCATGTTTTCCCTTAACACCCGTTACAAACGACCTGTCATGAGGAAAAAAGCCTCAAACACATTTAAAAATGTATATGACTCTAAACCTTTAGAAATATTTTTTGCACACCATCAAATAAATGTGAGTTCAGAGCATCCTGCAATAGATGAACGATTCCCGACAACTCTTACCTTTGAGTCTCTGAACAAGCAGCAGCTACATCTACAGACGAAAAGTCCAACTCTTCTCTCACTGTCCTTCTTGTGTTGATTTCCATAGGTTCACTCTCTTGTTTGTGCTCTACGTGCAGCCAGTCATCGTGAGAGGACATCACCGTGACAGTTCCTGACCTATGTATCTCTCTTTCTAGGACCTTCTCCTTCTCTGAAGTCACTTTCTTATCCTTCTGTAAGCTCTTTGGTACAAGAGGCTCATCTGTAACAGTCCAATCCTTAAGAATCTCATCCTTATCGTCTTCAGCATCTTCTCCAGACTGCGTCTGAGTAAATACTTCTTGCATTGCATCTAGAACATCTCTCTCCAACTGCAACATCACTTCCTCACCCTGAACTGCAACCAGAGCTCCTTCCGATTGCAGACAGGAATCTGAAGTTTTCTTGCCACATTCCTGATCTATGTTTGTCTCGGGTAGTTCTATTTCTTTGGAGGAAGACCCTTCTCTGACTGCTTTTTTGACTTGATGAAATAGAAGAGGCGAGCCTAATGTCTTACTTTCTGCGGTCACTTTAGTATCAGTTACATCAGCAATGGGGTCTGAACGAGAGGCGGATGTTGAGTCATCTAGGAATGAATCACAGCGACGTTTCCTTCTTTCTTTGGGCACAGGTAAACATGAGGGCATTTCTGAAGGATCATTGAATGCTCCGTGAACCCTTTGATCAAATGTAGTTCTAATTCCCACCAATGAACCAGAAGAAGGTTCAGCTGAAGGATTAGAACAGTCTTGACTTTGATGACCTTGTTTTCTTTGCCCCGCTGTTAGTTTTTCTTTGCCGTAGGATTCTTGAGCTGCACTTCCTGCAGGGATACTCCCGCCTGGGAAGGAGTCAATGACGTGTTTTCTCCCACGAGGCTTTGGAACAGGATTTTTAATGAGCTCTTCTCCTTTTGGATCATCTACCTTTTGCCTTGTAATGTTGGACTTATCAGCAGATGCGTCACCAGCGGATGGCGGGTAGACCGGCTTCATATCACCTGCTGTGATGTCCTTGTCGCTACCAAGTCTCCCAGCTTTTCTTGCTCCTTTTGGAAAATGTATCTTCTTAATTATTGAAACAGAGCTAAGGTGCTCATCATGCAATACATCTGGCTCCAGCACAGGGTGGATGCTTTTCATTTCCTTTGTTTCCAAAGAAGACATCTGGATAGAGGTCGCGCCATCTTTGTTAGTCCATTCCAGAGCACAAGTCCTATTGGACTGAAGCTGAAGATCTTCTGGTGCTGGCTTAGGAAACAAGGCAACTTCTTTTTGTTCTTCTGGTAAACTATCCCTCTTTCTGCTTGGCCTTACCGGAGCTATGCACATTCTCTGATCGCCCTCTTTCAGTTCAGGTGGAACCGATCTCTTTTCCTTTTTATCTTGATGAGGACCAGTAATACTGGCCGGTGGTATCGCCGGACATTTCTCTTGATCACACCTGGATGGGTCCGAGAGTGCATCAAACAGAGCAGCTCTCTGCTGGCTACTGTCTGCAGGCTGAAGGGGAGTTGCCGGCAACGTTTTTAAGCTTGTTTGTGTTGGGCTTAGAGGAAAAGAGAAGACAAACTTCAGACTAAGTGGCTGTGCCATACACTGAGAGCATGCATGCTTTCTGTGGCAAACCTTTGATTGAAAGAGACCAAAGTCTAAATTCATATTGAAAATGTTCTTGAATAATAATAGATTTTTATGATCTAACTCAGCTTCAGCGATGCAAATATGACTCAAAGCATACAGTATAATAAAAGAGACAAAGACAGTAAATATCCTATTCTAAAATTCCTTTGACAGTGCTGACTTTCTACATGGTGTATGGCTATGTTGTAACAAGATTTCAAGTTCATGTCACACACCATGCAACTAAAAGAGACTCAATCACTCACCCTTTCTCTGACTGAGAAGAGAACAACATCGTTTTCATACCATCTTGTTCTACATTGGCTCGGTGTTTCACCGGCAAATCTTTCAGGTACTTTGATGTCCGATCAAAGCTCTGCTTGATCAGCATTGTATCCTTTGAATGTGAGTGATTAAGAGGAAAATCCTGCTTATCTGTTCCTTTACTTTCTTTAACATCACCTCCGTCATCATCGTTAGCAATTGATAACGAAGGGACTAAATCGCCAACCATCAACTCCCTCAAGTATGGCTCCATGCTTGTTGGATATTCTTTTTTAGCATGAATGTCAAAACATTCATCCACCTTTTGTAGAGGTGTCCTGTTATCAGTAAAATGTGGCAAAGCTTCAGTAGTAGTCAATGACCTGTCCTCCAGGTTCACTGAAGTATCAGCGTCTCCTAAAGTAGAGCTAGATGGACCCAGGATAGATGCTACTGTTTCATAACTGCAAAGAATAAATTAATAGAGGGCTGAACATGTGGATCAATGCATAAACAAAACAAATATACATTTATTAAATCTACTTTATGAAGTATCAAAAGCCATATATTCTATTTAACATCTGGTTTAAGACTGGTTTTAAACTTACCCTTTGTGGAAAACACCAACAAGGGCCTTTACTAATCCTGTGGTCTCTTCTGCGTTTGGTGCTAAGTAGTGTTCTCTCTTTTTTTCAGACACTGATCCATCTGCCTCCAAAACCTCCCATCCAAAAAGTCCCGCTGTCTCTGATGTGTCCAAAGTTTTATTCCCTGCCTTTGCTTCTGCTGCTGTAATCGTCTCTAACTGGGATTTGCTGAGGAGCCAAATACAAAATCTTAAAGTTGTTCATCCATAAACCAATCATGGAATATAAACGCATACCAAAACACCATGCACTTGAGGTGTTCTTACCTCCACACAACATATGACAAGCAGGCACTAAGCTAATTCCACAGCAAAACACACACAGGAGCACTGTGCACTTCCACTTACTTATCAAAGTGAAACGGATCTACACTTTCATTTGAAAACCTCTTTTCGTCTGCTAAAACATCAACCAGATAAAATATTTGAAGTCAAACACAAATGGATGAAGCGGTATGTTGATTTTAGACACAACAAAATTCTCACCGTTTGATAGTTCAGTGCTTTGACTCCTATCGGATGAATGAAGACTTGGCTTATCATAGAGATTTGACCATGCATGTTGGGGTAACTTCATTGCATTTGCTTCAGTAGCAGAACACAGTGGAATACCCTTTATTTTCACATCTGCATTCACTTGCAAAAAGCTGGGAAATCCAGGAATCCGAGTCTGACGTGGGCATGAGGAAGCCATTGCGACCATAGGCTTCAATTCTTGAGTTTGATGCAATTTGGCTGGGAAGGTTCCAGTAAAAGGCTTCTCTTTTTGCTTCTTCTTAAACAAGACAACATCCTGTGTTATCCAAGTGTGTGTTTCTGGGCATTCAGAGCTAAGCCTTCTTGTTGACGGAAAACCAGGGACACATGAAACACATGGAGAAGTTGTGTATAAGCTAACCATATCTGTTGGCTTGCTTACTTTTGTGGCAGAGGGAAAACCGTAGATTCTAGCATTTTTAGGGCAGGATGTCGCAAAACGCAGCATACATTTACTGTTGTATAAATCTATGTGCTCATGTTTAGAAATTGAGACAGATTTATGCTTGTCTAGTGGTTTAATGAGTATAAGATTGGTTTTGCTTAGCCATTCTGTAACCGGGAGAGAGGTCAAGGATGCAAATCCTTTAATAACTGATTTCCTGGGGCAAAGGGGTACCATTAGTGTCATGTTAGGTTCCACTTTGAATTTAAGTTTAGTTTTTAAAGGTTCATCATTGTTAATGCTTGCCACAGTGCGATGGGCAAGAGATGGAAAACCATGGATAAATGATTCTTTAGGGCAAGATGGGACCAAACACAACATGTCCTTTGCAGTGTCTGTGTTATCTGGTAATGGGCTTACATAACTGTTAAACTGAACAGTTCTTTGGGATCTATACATTAACAGACCTACATCAGTCACCCAGCCTTCCTTATCTTGGGGTTCCAGTGATGGAAATCCTGGTATACTAGATGAAAGGGGACACGATGGTAGATGATTGACCATATTCATTTTATAATGCTCAAGTTTGGGATGATAAACTGAGGGAAAGCCTTTGATTCTTGAATCCCTGGGACAGGTTGTTAAGAGTGAAACCATTCCTTCTATTGGTCTCTGGTCTCTGTCAAAGAGATCAATGAGTAAAAAGTGCTTGTCTTTCATCCTTGGTTCAAACAGTTCATCTTTGCTTGCTGTCCACAAACGTTGACAATGAAATGATGGGAACCCTGGGATAAAGGAGATCTTTGGACATGAACTTGCAAGAC